TCTGAATTTTCAAACAAATTCTGATTTTGAAGAAAGATGATCTCTTTCTTAAGAGATCATCTTTTCTTACTTCGTTGCAGAATTGATACTAATCGATCTTATTTTCAGATCGATTTCTTATTTGCAGACGATTCGCAGATCCATAGAGAGATTTTTCTTTACGTTGATATTCGTAAGATGTAATTTGGAAGTTCACTATCGCTTATTATTGCTAAACATAATTAAAGGAAGTTCGATTCGCTTGAAAAGTTAACCATTATTATAGCCGATCATTATGATAATTACAGACTCAAGAAGAAGTTGAGAAAGCATTCAGAGCCGAAGCCCAAAGGTACAAACCAGTTGCTACGAGAAGCAACAGCACCACGGACGCCAGTGCTATCAAAAAATTATTAGACGCCGAGAATGGAACCTACGACGACTTAACCGAGGAAGAAGAGAACGAAAGCCAGGATACGTACGACGACGATGACGACGAGTTCGAAGACGACGAGCAAGTGCTAACAGGGTGTCCGGATTACTGTAAATGTGCTGGAGAATACGCAGCTGCAACGACTGCAACGTATGTTCAACCCTTTCGCTACGGGCGGATTTTCCGCCGCGGTACTTCTGCTGGACGGCGCGCTGCGACATCGCTGCACGCTACAAGACGCCGATCGTTGCGGGGGTACCGCAGCGGAGAACCCGCCCGTAGCAAAAGGCTTAATCCAAATGAAGTTAAGCAAAATTGAAAAAAATAAGGCATATCTATTTATCCGTTGTTGAGAGAAAAATAAGGTGAATTAGCTTTCTGCAGTAAGCACTGACTTTATTCGCTACAAACGATAGTGGCCTGTAGTACCTGGGTGGCATCTTATGGAAGGCCACTATAGTGGCCCTTAGTACCTCGATGGCATCTTATGGAAGGCCACTATAGTGGCTCTTAGTATCTCGATGGCATCTTATGGAAAGCCACTATAGTGGCTCGTAGTACCTCGATGGCATCTTATGGAGGGCCACTATAGTGGCTCGTAGTATCGAAAGGGTTAAATAGTTGCTATGAAAATCATCCCTGTAAAATGAACCAAGCTCGTTTGACAACTGCGAATCGTGATTCCGATGACGCTACGCCGAATTACAAATTATTTTCATTGTCACCGTAACAAATTATCGTTAGCAAATTATAATAATTATTGATTACAGAGATATTGGCTAGTATATCAGTTGTTCAATATAAAGAACGAGATGGAGTACAAATATTTCTTTCGTACAAACATTTCAAAAATCGTTCAATTTTATTAATGCTAGATTTCATAAACGTTTCAACCAAGAGTTGCACACATCGTAATGTATTTAAGTCAAATAAGCAGATTTGAATCGAACGTATAGATAGTTGTGTTGGAGGAATAGTTCATACACGTCTTTCTCATCAGTCATTGTCCATTTTGTTGAAACTCTTAATTATTGGTGAATTAGAAAAATATTTTTTAGGGAACTATATATATATATATATATATATAGAAAACAAGAGAATGTAGGATTACATAATTTGTTTAGGCCGTCTGTTTTTAAGTAGGGAATTTGTGCCTGTAGATGAGTATAAGAAAGGATAATTCGTTTGAATAATTTGTTAAAAATTTGAAATTTTTATAATGAATTTCAGCAATAGTGACTTTATACAGGCTGTTATAAAATGTTTTGTCGTGACTATCGTAAGTGAAAACTTTACATCCTTGGATCGGCTTGACCATCTTTTTTAAGGTTAACATCTTTTTCGCGACGAGTAGAACTATATATATTCGTGACCATAAAAACGAGCCGCAAGTCACGAATAATCGTATCTTCTATTCCTAAATTGTCCATTTTTTGCACAATCTGAGCGCGAATTAGGGAGACATTACTATACTCGTACTTTCCTTTACTTTGTTATTGTAGTTTATCATTGTACTGTCCATTCTTCTTTGGCACTGAAAGAACAGTGACATAAAGATTACTGACTCCCCCTTTTCCTTTCCAAGTACTCTATACCATTCCAACACTTTTCCCTATTCTCTCAGTATCTTTTATTTTCCTTTTCACATCCAGCTTTGATCTTCAATTTCATCATCAGATGTCTCGCCGTCTGAGGACTTTAAAGTTTGAATATTAATTCGGACATGTTCCCGTTTCGTGCAGATGCAACAAATTCGTGGAGGACCAAACGTTCGGCACAGGTGTCGCTCATCTGCGCATCGAGCACGCCGAGCCGATTTCGCTCGGTCCCCATGCGCTTCGATCCCGAGGCCTCCAGCACTTGGAATCGATCAAGATCACGCACACGCAGATCGTCGAGCTGGATCAAACCGCATTCGACGGCGTGGTGTACTTGTTCGCTGTTAATCTGACCCACAACGGCCTGCAAGAGCTTCCTCCGAATCTGTTCCAAAACAACTCGCAGCTCACGTTACTGTCGATCTCCCGAAACCCGTTAAAACACACCCAAGACCCGAGATCAGCAAAACATGGCTTGTTCGATACTCCGTCCGTCACTGAATTCGATTTCTCTCATAACGGTTTGACGAAGCTGAGACGGAACGCCTTCGCGAAGATGCCCAGCCTGCTCTACATCAATCTGCGAAATAATAAACTCAAGGAGATCGACAGCGCGGTCTTCAACACGCTCAAAGCGCTCGCTGATGTGGACCTTTCGAACAATCTGCTGAACGAGATCCCTGCCGATTTGCTGTATGACAAGAGAGTGGAGATATTCAACGTTGCCGGTAAGAGCATCTGCTATTTCGAAGATTTTGCAATTCTGTGATCACAATTTTCTTCGAGCATACAGGCTGTCTCAAAATTATGGTACTTCCGGGAAAAGAAGGGTTCCTGAGGTCATTTGAAGCAACTTTCTTCTTAGCGCAAACGCAATCCGCGGCTTCGTTTACGAGTTATTAATGAAAAACGGTGACCAATGTGAGGCGAATTCAGCTGGCGCGAGGCGGAGCCTAGACGAGCGGTCGAAGCCTAGTTCCGCTCATTGGCTCGGTCGCCTCGCGCCAGCCGAGCTCACCTCTCATTGGTCAGTGTTTTTCGTTAATAACTCGTAAATAAGGCCGCGGATTGCATTTGCGCTAAGGAAAAAGTTGCTTCAAATGGTCTCAGGAACCTTTCATTCCTCGGAAGTGTCAGAATTTTGGGACACCCTGTAGAAGTCATAAATGATACTACGAAAGTCTGTCGGCGACTTTACACAATTCGCAGAGGAGTGAATTCGACAAAATTGACTGGACAAAAACATGTTTTTCCCGTTGTTGGAATCTTGTTTTTCTGGTTATCGCGAAGGACGTTTTGAATCGATGTTCACAGTACATTTCTGTGGATTTTTAGAAGTTCGCGAGTTATTGGTATATTTGATTTCTTTATTAACACTCGAACGACGTGGCCTGGGTTCGTTTGTAACCAGAAAAAATTTGAACATCATGTTATTGACACTTAATTAAAATTTTCATGTTTCATTGAGGGCTACAGAAAAACTAACTTATCTAGAAGGAGTACAGCTATATTTTTCTCGGGAAAGTTCGTTGATCGAGTGTTAAATGCACCGACAAAGTTTTAAGAAAATAAAAATGGTTAAACTGTGTTAGATTTTTTTAGCTACGGTTTTTTGACAGAAGAAATCCGAAGAATATTCACTGTTTCGTGATTTCGTCGATTTCATTCATTGTGTCTCTATATATTTAGTTATCAGCTCACTTTTATAGAACTTCTAAGACAGAGCTTTCAACTTGCAGGTAATAACTTGACTACATTGTCCACGATTCATGCGTCAGAATTGCGACAGTTGGATGTGTCCCATAACAAAATCAGGGTGATACCTAAAGACGGTCTGATCGGTGTGCCGCTATTGGAGCAACTGACGCTCCGTTCGAACGAGATCAGGTCGATTCATCCGTCCGCTTTCGCTGACCTCGAGATGCTTATCTATATCGATCTTAGCAACAACAAATTGACTTCCTTGAAGGAGAGCCATCTGGCAGGAAACAGGAGATTGCAAGTGGTTCTGCTGAACGACAATCCTGGTTTGGAGACCTTGCCTGTTTTCAAGACCCGCAACGAATACGACGGTTACAGGTAAAAGCTACCTTCACCTAAGGAATCTGTATCTCTCATCACTATGGCGGTCACTATGGCAAATGATTTACAACCCATGACAAATCATCTTTTAAAACGCAATAACTTTTTCCAAACTGGTCTAAACAACTTGAATTGTTTTTAAGTGTTAAAGGGACTAGTTTACGTTACAATGACTAGCATACTTTTTTTTTAAATTTTACCGCTACTTAAAATGACAACAAAAGATCGGTTGACGCATAGTCAAACTACAGCCACTGAAAGATGGAAAAATGACCTGTTTTTGGTTTAAATTCGTGAAAGACTGCGATTTTTACGATCTTCAATTGCTTGTAGCTCGTGAAAACGTCAACCAATTTCAATGAAATTTTCAGTATGCATGTAAGTTATCTGGATCTTCGAAACGCACTTTTTAAATTTTCGTTTCACCTTCAAATAAAAAAGTTAAAGAACAAGTGTTTCGTATTTTCGTATTTCTCGTACCAAGTAATAGCAAAATTAACATGAAGTATTTTTGTCATTGCACAGTAAAGTCATTTAGCGGAGTTTTAAAAATGTTATTGCATTTTAAAAGGTGAACGAATACTTTTTACCAGGGGTTGTACAAGAAGTAATTACAATCCTTCGGTCGACGGTTTTGATAAAACTTTTACCGATGAATGTAGAGCAAAACTAAGCCGACTCATATTTTGGCGTCATCGTCAATATTCACTATTTATGAAAATATTTTACATTGGACCTTTACGATTTTCATAAATACTGGGTTAATAGGCACGTATTCCACTTGTATGATAGCGAAATTGATAATGACCAATGGTGTTGAAAACTCGGAAGATACATACTGTTCTTTTATTTTTAATTTTGTAATATTTGTTAAATATTTTCCTTTTTTTACGTATGTTTCTTTTTCTAAATATTTATACTCAATTTTTATCAATCATTTTATTGAAATGTATAATGTGACGTGTAATTCGCGCGAAAAAAAACAAATGAACCAAATATTAATCTTTCGAGATTTGAATCAACAGAGATATCAGGATCTATCATTTTATAATTAGACCTGATGCAATACGTTTCTATGACAGTATTTGCAGAAACCATAAAGAATGAGTTGCCACGAAAATAGCTATAGATCCATCAAAAGAAGTTTGATCAAAATCAATGATCTAGCGACTGTGACCTCTGTTAGTTATGGAAAAATAATAGTATAATCGTGTTATCAAGATGTCATCCCATTAATTATAAAATAATATTTAATCGTCAACGTATCAATCACTCTTTTCGATGGCATTCTTCCAACATCAATCGACTTTCTGATTTCTCTTGCAAATAGTTTTTAAAGCTTTTAGAGCTCGATAGCATGGAGGACTATTTTTATGGACTAACAGATGTAATTCTCATAGTTCCAGTGAACGTTACATCTTCGTTAAAATCTCGTTACATATTTTTGCAGTATTTACCGTTTCGAATGCTCGAACTGTGGCTTGTACACAATCCACGAAGAAACCTTCAGGCATATGCCAGTATTGCAACGACTGAACCTGTCCAAGAACCGTTTAGCGACCCTGCCAGATGGACTTCTGCGGGATCTCGTCTCTTTGAAAACTCTCGATATTTCCGACAACATAATCAGCGTGCTGCAGAACAACATGTTCAACGGTGCCAGCGGCCTGGCGAAGATTAGTCTCGCTGGCAATCCTTTGGAGAAATTGCAAGTGACACCATTCTTGGCGACTCCCAATCTTTCCAAGCTGGACGCGAGCAGATGCGCCTTGGAGAGAGTTTGGAGCGAGGCTAGAGTTCCTCTGGAGAGCTTGAGGCAAGTGATAAGTTATTTGCGGTTCTTTATGCAGAATAAAAATCTTCCGACACGGTTGTAAGAAACCGAAATTTTTTAAATGAAAATGAATTGCTCGTTTAAATCATTTTAGTAAATCGAGGATAGTGTAACGTTATTATTAAATTCTTCAAATGCTCTCGGAATTTTATTTCTCGACTACTCTCAGTTTTGTTACTCGTAAATGCATTAAATCCACACACTAGTAATAATCATCCTTTACCTTTTGTACAGAATTTTTGTCATTCGTGCCTAATTACGAGCTAACAGCAAAGTTTTAACGCTCTGAATGTTCAAAAATTGTGTTCTGTCGTATTTATGTGTCGTATAGTCAACTGATACGAGCTCTGCACCGAAAGGATTAAATTTAAAGCAACAATGCTTGTAAATTTTGATCTCCTGAACAGCGATAAAAGCAATACTCGTAATTTACAAAATTCAACACCGTTCTGCGATTTCTTTTAGTTTATTAATTCGCTATGATCATCTGGGGCGCAAGAACTTGCTGTTCACTGCACAAAACGACCGAAAAATTAATTTAATTTCGGTGTTCTAATTTGTGTTAATTAACTGGTTGTAAGTTTACGTTCGATTTCACTTTCAGATCCTTGTCAGTCCGCGAGAATCTCTTGCGACGAATCACCGTAGAGGAATTGAATGCGACACCGAAAATTGTTGGCATCAATTTAGCGCATAATCCACTGGATTGTGATAACGAGTTCACCGAGGCTATTCAATGGCTCACGGATCGTGGAATCTCGACGATGGAACCATTCAGGTATACAACTTCGAAAATAAACGAAGCATATGTGTCTTGAGTCGAGTGGAAGGTTAATTAAAATGCATTGTTGTTTATAATTTTTTAGTTTTTATTCGAGTGGAACGAGCTTCCGACTGAATTTAATATAAAGACACTAATTAGAGAGAGAGAGAGAGAGAGAGAGAGAGAGAGAGAGAGAGAATTCTATCGAATAAGAAATAATCTTTCCCTGCTAAAAGAATTTATGTGATGGAATTGAAGAACATGAATGAACCTCCATTTATGTTTATTTAATATTTGTCAATCCTAATTGAACTGTTTGAGATAATTATATTGTATCTTAAGAAACAGGTGGTTTAATGTCGTCTAATTGGAATCGATTTTACAATCATTATCAAACACGAATTATCGTACATGTTAATTTATAGGAAATGGAATCGAAACGGTCCTCAATTTTATTAGAGTTTTTATAGTTTCATAATTATTTATAAAGAGAATAAAATCTTAATGAATTTCTTTTCTTAACTCTTCCGCGTTGCAAATTTGAAAGATCGAAATATGCTATAAATGCAAAAGATCCGCAATTCAATTATTACTGAACTAATGAAGTTCAACGAAAAATTTTAATTAAGATAATTATGTAAAATAAAATTATTTTACAGATATCTTAATGATTACGCAAACGGGGATAATAATCAAGATAACGAAGGTATCAGTCACTGGACTGATCTGGCGAATATAGTCTGCGATGGCGTGAGCGATGATGGACCACCGAACAGAAACATCCCGCACTTAAAGAACAAAGTGAAAAATATGCTTGACGAGCTTGACACATCGAAAGATTCTGACTCTATTTTGCGCAAACAAAACGATGAGGTGAGTTATCACGGAAATAAAAAAAAGTCATATTTATTGTTAAGAACTATAGTTCTATAATGTCCATTTGTAATATTTTCAATCGTTAAATATTGTTAAAATTGTTAAAATCGTTACACTGAATTGACTAACTGAAAAATGATACTGTTTTAGAGCTAAAATCTTAACTAACATTCGCAAAACTAAGAACATCATATTTAAACAAAGAAATTGGATCAACTTTTCTGCTTTATCATTAAAAGAATAAAAAATATAGAAATTCCCCGATAATTAACGTACTTAAAGATTTAATAAAAGCCTAATTACGGTAAGTTCTCCCTAATTGACCCTCACCTTGGAAACAAAAATGGACAATTTGGGAAGAGGAGATACTATTATATTATTCGTGTCTTGCGATGGCTCGTTTTTGTAGTTGTTAACAATCGATAACTATAAAAACAAGCAGCAAGGCTCGAATAATCGTATCTCCTCTTCCAAAATTCTCCGCTTTTGTATACAAGCTGAGGGTCAATTAAGGAGAATTCCTGTATATCCTTATACCACTTCTTAGAAAAAAAATATTACAGCTTGTAATCGTAATACCACAGATATCACACTAAAAAGAACAATTGAAGGAGAGGTTCCATTTCGTTCCCAAAAATTGTAAAAGCGCTTGGTGCTTCATATATTTACAACATAATTAAATCAGTTTAATTGTATTTGTATACCATTCTTTAAGTAAATTAGTAATAGTCTGTGATATTGAAAAAGTTATACTAAAAAGAATACTAAATACAATTTCAGGTCTCGTTCTTAAGATAACTTAAAAAGCTACGTGATATATTTAATGTAATTAAATCTGTCCGATATTATTTTCGCCATTTCTCTAGCAAAACAATGAGCGTTTGTATTCATCCGACTAGACCGTCGTACTGCAACAAGTAATTAAAGCAACCTTTCTGCTCCATTAAAAAAAAAAAAACAAAGAATGCATAAAGGTCTCGATAAAATTACTAAAAGTCTGCGTACTAATTAGAAACGATGTTGTTTTCGTAGCAGGAGCTGCTGAAACTGTTGGACGATCGAGATATGCGATCGGACGAGGAGGTGGAGAAGGCATGGACCACTCAGGACCAGGAATACGAAGACTTTGTAAGAGAAGGAAGTACGGAGCACCATCCTTGGTACACAAGCGCCGTTTGGCCCGTGGTGACGCTCGTGATCATGACGGTGATGTTCGTCTCCATCGCGATACACGTTGTTTTTTACGCGCCGAAACGACGCGGCGGAAGCCCCGTGATCAGGCCGCCGATGATGCTGCGTTCGGGGTTGATCGATAACAAGAACTGCGGACTGGTCTACAAGCCTCTGCAAGAGGAAATCGCCACGCCGCATATGCCGAAGCGTGGCAGCTTTTATTCAAGCAGCACATTTCACTACGACAAGATCGTGCCCGAGAGCGTCTAATTAGCCGACACGACCGCACACAATAGTTACCGGTCTGTTGACGCGGCTCGAGTTGATTTATAACGCGAATAGTTCGAGTAGTCGATGAACGAAGTATAGTTTGTACAAATCCAATTGGCCGAGTACATTGCCGTTCAAACGTTTGGGGTCGCAGATTACTTGGCCGTGCTGATCAGTCGGCGGTGTAAGTACTTATCGATTCGCATTTGAATTTTTCGTTATCCGTATTAGAGTGTAGGATTATAGGAACGGTGTGTTTGTTCGAGGGGATCCAGCGACTCCAAACCTTTGAGCGACGCGATCTTGATGCACACGCAATGCACGAAGATATTATACGCGACTTTATTTCATTTTAAGAAGCTTTTTGACTTTTTAGACCGGCGCGGTTACTTTTGTTTTCTTTCTTAATGAAACGGAAAATTGAAAAATATTTGCCACCACCACCACCGATACTTGCAGGGGTAAAACGGAAGGTTTATAAATGTATTTACTTATACACGTGGGCAACGCGAACGTGTCGGCGAACCGACATGTAAGACTCGATCGAGTTAGCGTGGCTCCAAAGGTTGTAGACGACGAATCAAGATATTTCGCGTGAAATATTTCACGATCCAGCATCGTGGTATCGATATATCGTGCCGATATCGGAATCGTCGATTTTTAATGGGGAAAACCGGAATGGAGTCAGATTAATTTAATTATAATTGTATATTTAATAGTAATGCATAATTACGTATCTACTACGTTTACTATTAATCATTGAGGGAATGCAGCTTTGGGCGCTAGGTTAATTAGCATTTCGAAAGAATAGGAAACGAGTGGAAACAAGAGCAAGCTTCGATGGAGAAAAACGATCGGTCGGTAGTAATATATATATATCAAACATAATACATAAGGCTAGCGACTTTCAATTGCAGTGACCACAACGTCTCGTTCAAGTCATGAACACACATAAGTATTTACACGATTAAACACCGCATATAATACTAAGAAAACTAACGTGGCCTAGTATAAGTAGTACATCTTCGTGTACTATGTATTATACTACATGCTGTAAATAATGTATAACGTTTTAATAAAGTTTTCATTACGGTATATGATTCAGTGTTTGTCTTAACTCGGTAATTAATTACAAAATGTCTGCCTTCCGTTGTTCTTAAAACAGATTCGCTTTTTTGAAGTCGTGATCAGCTCGCAGATCTTATGCACTTTGTACACATACAAATACGTAAATTATATATACTGAAATTATAGATAAATAACTTATATCATGTGTACATCAATTGTATTACACATTTATGCAATACGTTATTTATATATATATATATATATATATATATATATATTGTGGATTATGTTATATATTAAATAATATATAATATATAATATATTATAATATATAATAATTATAATATATAATATATTTTATATTATTTAATATATAACATATAATCCACAATTCAAGCAACAGAAGTTTATTTCCGTGAACTAATTTATAACAATTGATACTATCCTCGAAATCTGCAATCTGTTTACGTTGTAAAAGCACAGTTTCTCCTTTGTGCTAATACACATTTTTGAATCGACGCAAAGAATTTATCTTATTTATCTTTTCCATGTATTTACCGCGTTGATCATTGATCAATATTTCTGTCCCAAATGGCAGGTTTGCACAACTAGAAAATACAAAAGATCTTAATAGAATTATCTGCGCGCGATTGAAGCGTGGCACAATGATTGATGACACATATTCTCAACTCGATTGTTACCGGCCCGCTTGCAGGCTGTTGACGCTTCGAACTACATTCCTACTAGCGCAGAACAACGCTGCAATAACAATCGAAACAGTAGCTTGCAGCAGTTCCATGCTCTTTTCGTCTTTCTCGTATCTTATCGTCGCAAATTAGCGCGCGCGCAATTAACAGTGCCAATATCAGACCAAACGATGGCGATTAGATTATGCAGAATCTGATACGTGCATTGTATAATCGTGAAATTCGTAGAATTTCATAAATAAAACGAACTTTAGAATGCGTTTCATTATACATACATATTTCACGTAATACATAATAATAATAATAATGTATCACGTTTTCTACAGTCTCTCTGTGCGAAGTATAAACAATGGATTATCTTAATTACAGTTGTTTATAGAACGACCCTAATTGCCCACAGTATCGTAACAATTAATGTATGCCTTAAACAATGTTGACGTAACAAATTTTAAAAATATATATAACTTATAGATTATACATAATGCTATTATATTAGAGTCGTATAACAATTGGATCGCGGATTTTTGTGCAAAATGAGTCAGCTAAAAATGTCTTTCCTCTTTTAATAATTGTTACCAGTTGAAAATAATGTAAGAATATTCTTCGTTTATGCTAATGCCTTTATAGCCTTGTATTTCACTTGTTCAGTTTTCTCATAAACGCATAAAATTCGCTGTCTAATGACAATTCGTAGCAATCAGTTTTGTAGGAAATGGTACCGACAGGTCTCGCGGATCGTAAGAACTTTCTGAACTCCCCCCACCTTTTTAACCGCAGGAGAAAAGGAGTAGGAGTCACCGAGAGCAACGCGACGCGACACGTCCCACTTCAACACTTTCCCTCCTTCCTTTGCGTTGGGCAGTGGTTAAACAAGAGGGAACCATGTTCTGGAAGTTCTTACGGCCCGCGAGCCCTGGGTAAATACCAGTGGGGCACTTAATGTTATACTTAATTAATTAACTTTGATATCACATTTATTTTAAATATCGTATTTAAATTCTTTACTTTAACATTATACTCATCTTAAGCACGATATTTCACTGCTACGTATTGGAACAAAGTACAGTGTGAAATATTCAATAAATTTAAAACTCGTAAATACTCAGTCTAATAATTTTATATTATTGCGATGCAGTCGCAGACAAAGTTTTGTGCTTTGACTTAGTTTCGTTGCGAAACTCTCTGTGTCCATATTATTATACAACTTGATACGCTTGATACGGCACTGTTTGCGCCACACATGCGGGATATCGCATCTCATCAACATGCGTGTATAACAAGACAAGAGTGTACGACTAGTCAGTGTAGAAGGGAGCACCAGATATCAACGACGTGTTATCACGTACATTCTGGCCGCCGATTTTTCTCCAAAATTGACCGACCTGTTTGATTCCTTGCATTTCCTAGTATCAAACAATGTATCCCCGAAGACGCGTGGTGGAACTGTTGCAGGTCATCTCCTCCCAATCGTAAGTAAATATTGGTTATTTAATAACATATTTGCAAAGCCGTGACGTTCGCGCAAGTCAAAGATACTCGCCAAAATGAGCACTTCCGCGAATCTATGTCGCCGATACTGCAATTAAGTTGACAGCCCGTGTCTCCAGTGTTTGGATAAATATCGAATCGATCGAGGACACAGATCCAAAATCAGTTCGAAGAATTTTAAGTGGTTTCGAAAGAAATGTTTTTGTTTCGCAGCCATATATTGACAACGCGTCAAGAAAACTTCGTAGACTTCGTTCTGTTTACTATATAACAGTGTCCATGTATACTAACTAAAGAAGTTAAATATGTAATCTATGTAATATTTTATTTAGAATGTGATATTTTTCTTTTCCGATATTGGCTCCTTTTTATAATATCTAGTCATTATCACAGGATGTAAGTTGTTTTTTCTTATCCAAAATATTTTTCCCTGTATCTAGAAATTGTTTCACATATTTACGTATTTAACGATCAAAATCAAATTGCACTTTCTTTACATAAATATTTATAACCGATATAACAGTAATAACAGTACAATCATTTCTGAACAAATAAATGGTTCAATTGTTATTAACCCTTGAATGACGGTCCATAGTGACCGGTGGCCTGGTCTCGCATGACACTTTCATTAATTTATTTATTTTTTTGATTATTGTTAATATTGCCATTATGAGAAATGGAAGGGAATGGAGAACAATTTATTTGTTCTATTTATAATAAGTAATTTATATCATGCATATCCTCGCATGTAATACATAAAGGTCACAGGAGACCCGGCCATCGTCATGCGAGAGTTAAATATGACACAGATTACGTGTTTCAATAAAGAAAAATTGAAACGAGTATCGAGAATGGTAATCGTACATGTATATAAACATTTTTAAACTTTTTAATACATTCGGGGTATTTCAAAGTAATGCAAATATCTTTTAATTATTCTTTTACTTCAAGCTTTTCAGTTTTTTTATAAAAACATACTATGTATCTTGTTTTTACAGCTCTGTAATATTAATAAATTCCCTTCTGTAATGTTGGTAAATCACTGATAATGCAGTGCAATGCTTGCCGTTGGCTATGCTTTATCATGTTTTATTAAAAAAAAAATTTTTTTCACAGATGTAGGTGTCCAGCTCATGCACAGGTAGAGGGCATGACCCGGCACGATCTAGCAAAAGCTCGCAGCACGGCTGCACATTCTGCACCACAGAAGGAATATGCATTTGAGGTATGCGTTAATGAAATTCGCAAAACATATATTGTAAATGTGAAATAACGATCTCTTCTAACGAGATCGTTATTATACATTCGTATCGCCGACCCATGCGATTACAAAATGCAAACATAATCAATAAACTCAGATAAAGATGTTTTCAAATTCTTTAGCTCTCTCGCAATCTAACTCGTGTATCTGTCCACAAGTAATTAGTGAAAATTAGGTTTTTGGAACACGTCACTGATAAGTAGACTGCTGACTTACGATCGAAACGAGAAGGCACAATTTAAAATAGTAGAAACAAATTTTAAGTATTTGAGCCTTATACATTAATTGGTAAGGTTGTACGTTATTTTCAACTCATCGAAAATATCTGTACGCGAAAGATTTTTTGGGTTCTGTTCGTTGCAAATGACAAAGATAATTTCTACTTTAATTCATCAATTTAATAATCAGGAATGTTATGTGA